TTGATCTTATACCCCTCCTAATGCCCTCTATGTTATCTAAGTCGATCTAGTGACCCGTGTCTAATGCATGTGCAGCCACGGCCGAGTCGCTTACTATGACTTGGTATTCAAACGAATTTGTCGGTGATCTTGAAATACGCCCCCTATACTCTGAAATTTGTGTGTAACTCTCTCGCCGTTTGGCCTATGTACACATGTGTACAGTCCTTACATTTAATTTGATGAACACAGTTATTCGTCCTATCCTTGGGAACTGGGTCCTTCAGGTGCACCAGCGCTGAAGGTAGCGTTTGACCTCGCTGGAAGGGCACACTTATAAATAAATAAATAAATAAATGGTATATTCCTCGGTGACTCGAGGTGCAATCCAACTATGTGTTTAGTACCCTCCGAATTGCCTCCGAAATGCCCTCCTTGTACGGAATTCCTACCATCCCCATACACTCCGTTGTGCGTCTCGACTGTCGGTTTACCATTTTTATCTGGCTGGCGGTTGACTAGCCGCCGTGAGTAACCACTTTCTAATAGTTTGCCCATTGCCACTTTTCGCGCTGCCTTTTTGTCTTCCTCCATCGTACAAAGTGTTTGTGCCTTGTAGAACAGCGCTGAGGCAATTCCAGCGTAAACCTGTTTCCGATGAACTGAAATGTAGTGGAGTACGCCGTCCGTATCAGTTGGTTTGTGATATATGGTCATCTTTAAATTTTTCCATTCCTATGAACCAAGCAGTCAAGAAATGGTATTGTACCGATACAAGATTCCAGCTCAATAGTAAACTGTATCCTCTCATCAATGTAGTTTAAGTGATCAAGCTACTCGTCCTTATCCTGTCTAACCAGTGCAAATGTGTCGTCTACATAACGCCACCAAACTTTTTGTAGGTTAATGATGTTTGTTAACGTCATGTTCTCAAAGTCTTCCATATACTGGTTCGCCAGGACAGGGGAAATTGGCGGTGACATTGCGAGACCTTGTTCCTGACTGTAAAGCTTCGACTGAAAAACGAAGTAAGACATGTTAAGACACACTGTCATACCCTCGATTATCAGCTTAACCGTTAGTTTCGTCCGATCACTTAGAGTGACATCTTCATTTAGACGTCTTACTATTCCTAGCGCTTCTTCTTTGGGTACCCTGCTGAAAGTGACGTCACATCGAAGCTTACCGTCAACTCATCTAGCTTGATTTCGGTAGTTGCTACGTTTTGGGAGAACTCATAAGAGTTTTGCACGAATGTACACGTTCGCCCTGTCAGAGGCTGCAAAAGTCTTGCCAAATAACTAGCGAGTTCATGCGTCGGGAAGCTTACGCTGTCGACTATGGGTCGTACGGGAACTTCGGTTTTGTGAACTTACGGCAAGCCATAAATCCTCCTAGGTAAAAGCGATTTTGGGTATAGACTGTACCACTTGCCTGCTCTTAAATAGTTCTTCACAGTTCTTAAATAGTTACCAACCTCCGTCTTACTCTTGTTCAGTACTGACGTCACGGTCTTGTCAACGAGTAAACTATATGGACCTATCTCCAAATGTGGCTCCGATTTTTCCAAATAGTCTGCCCTATTCATTACAACCAGGGTTTTCCCTTTGTCAGCTTTTGTGAGTACGATGCTGCGATCCCCCCCCCCAAGAAATTTAATGCCATACGTTCAGTTGGTGGAAGATTTGGCTTACCCGGTTGCAGAAACCTAATTACTTTTACTGTGCACGAATATTCTCTGCCTCTTTGATGAGAGGATACAGTTTACTATTGAGCTGGAATCTTGTATCGGTACAATACCATTTCTTGACTGCTTGGTTCGTAGGAATGGAAAAATTTAAAGATGACCATATATCGCAAGCCAACTGATACGCACGGCGTACTCCACTACATTTCAGTTCATCGGAAACAGGTTTACGCTGGAATTGCCTCAGCGCTGTTCTACAAGGCACAAACACTTTGTACGATGGAGGAAGACAAAAAGGCAGCGCGAAAAGTGGCAATGGGCAAACTATTAGAAAGTGGTTACCCACGGCGGCTAGTCAACCGCCAGCTAGATAAAAATGGTAAACCGACAGTCGAGACGCACAACGGAGTGAATGGGGATGGTAGGAATTCCGTACAAGGAGGGCATTTCGGAGGCAATTCGGAGGGTACTAAACACATAGTTGGATTGCACCTCGAATCACCGAGGAATATACCATTTATTTATTTATTTATTTATAAGTGTGATCTTCCAGCGAGGTCAAACGCTACCTTCAGCGCTGGTGCACCTGAAGGACCCACTTCCCAAGGATAGGACGACTAACTGTGTTCATCAAATTAAATGTAAGGACTGTACACATGTGTACATAGGCCAAACGGGGAGAGAGTTACGCACACGAATTTCAGAGCATAGGGGGCGCATTTCAAGACCACCGACAAATTCGTTTGAATACCAGGTCATATTAAGCGACTCGGCCGTGACTGCACATGCATTAGACACGGGTCACCAGATCAACTTAGCTAACATAGAGGTCATTAGGAGGGGTATAAGATCAACGCCCAAGCGGTTGATTGCCGAGGTTTGGAAAGCACCAATTCCAACAGTTATGTGAATAGAATGGAGGGAGTAGAACTCTACTGCGTGGCGAGCGATCTTAAGCCGGCCAGCCTGACGAGCCTCGGTGCGTGGGTCAGATTGAAAAGTGCAACTCTACTCCCCTTGTCATCATTTTGGGCTTATTCGTCAATGGCATGACGCACAAAGGAACACCTGGACTTTTCCCACTGTGATTGAACCACCCGAGGTGACATCACGAGCTGTGACTGTAATGACACCTTGGCTCAAGTCTTGGGTGACGCGGTTCTCATCCCTGTTCGCTATAAAATGCCACTCCAACCGCCACTCCAACTTCATCTGGTCTGACGGTGCTCTTATGTCAACAGCGAAACGTTACCAAATAACTATGCCAACGAATTGTTACCAAACCTCTCTGAACGTTTTCATGTTGTTAGCTACTCCATTATCTTTGATTGCTGCTAACGTATTTGGGGATTGCATTATGTTCTTTATTCCGAGATTTGTAATTAATCCGGTTTTAGACATCGTACAATCGCCATGAAATATGCACGAAGAAAACTTCAGGTGTTCAGATCCATCGTACATATTTTCTTTGTAAGAGTCTTCAGCTCCGGAGCTGTGACATCTAGGGGAGCTAAATAAATTAGGAAGATGTGTGCCGGCGACTAGAACTGCTTGTATTGTAGTAGATTAGTGAATGGTTTTTTGAAGAAGTTTGGTGCAGCATGGTCACCCAAGCCGAGGTGGGGAATGGCTTATGGGTCATCACCCTAAGTGGCTTAGTAAGGTAACATGCATAGGCTAAATCCCCAATTCCAGAGTGCAATGCCTCAACGAAATGAATGAAGAAGCGTTGACTCTGCTTGGTGGTGAGTCATATTTGCCTTGTTGCAATGTTTTCAGCCAAGCAGCTGTAGCTGTCTATAGAGTGAACGCGTAGCATTTGAAAACCCACCGCATCCTAAAACACTGTCACTGACCAATTCGTCAGGATGGGCTAATCCCGACCCACCCGATTGATGCTACTAGGAGGTTGTTCTATAATCCACACACTATCTACTCTCTTACGCTAAACAACATCTGACTAGACGTTCAAGGAGAGGATCTCTGCCGTGAAATAGCCGCGGTTGCAATTGCTTCTTCCCTTGTTTGTCTATGCAGTGCACTTAATGTATCAGAAAGCCAGGCAATGGCTAACGCTCGGCAGAATATAACAATTACATTCATTCAATTATTGGATCTTCATTCACATGGGAAGCTTGGCCGTTTTCTTACACCGGACGACAACTATCCATGCAACTTGCTTCCATTTTTCCTCATTCACCCTCTGAGTGGAACTATTACTTTTCATACATTGCACCTGGCAATAGCTACGTTCTCACCTTACACCCTTCATACCCTATTCTGCAGTTCCCCACTTTGCGGTAATTACCAACTCAATGTGCTTATTGATCCTTAGCGTACCCTTTATGTGCTAGACTACTGTGTATGTAATCTCAATAGTAGTTTGTTCCAGAGTAAACATTTTTATCCTGATCACCGGGATCATCTTTAGAGTGGTTCCATTTTCGGTCTTGCTTGTGTTTTCAGAGACTGGCATCATGAATGTCTATGGCATTCCGAATACTTTATGCCCTCCGCAATTACACTGCATCTAGTAAAGCATAATCTGCACTATACCATAACAGCTGGCATTTAATATAAGTAACGTTAGGCGCCTCGATTAGCTAAACCTGTTTCGATCAACGGGCCTTGTCTCCATTCTCGCAACGTAGACCTTTGATTGTGTGCTTCGCATTTCGACATATCTTGCCTGCTCCATGTTAGACACATCACGGTACTCCAAGGCATCTGATCCACACTAATGGGCCCGCTCATAATGCGTAATAAATAAGCGTTTTTGACTAGTAAAAACAACGCAATTCGCATACCTTTCCCTTATTTCCCGTGTTTTCTTCTGTCCCTAAATATCAGGTTAGTGCTTAAAGGACTCTTTTCTTTACAACGGTAAAAAATGTATGGGTGCACACGATGGAGCATCCGCACAGGCTGGTTTAGAACGGCTTGCAGGAATGTTTTAAGAAGTGGAAGAAACGTAGGTGGTGCATCAGTTTAATGGCTACCGCCAGTAATTATACAGCCTTGTTAGACAGCATACCATCAAATGCGTTACGTTTCGGTTAGACCTCATCTAGATCGATGCTTGCATTCGTAGTGCGCTCCATCTCAAGACCGGCGCTTGAAATAGGTATTTCTTCGAAAGTATTCTTGTTCTCCGCTCACGGTTGGGTTGTCGATACATATTTACAACTGATTGTATAGTTTTGTATGATGCTATTTTAACCGGTCTAACGCGCGTTCAATTTGGTTAATTCATTTTTACACTCCAGCCTGGATACCACTTACGCTTTCCTCACCGAATTTACTTGTTCTCCAACTTTCCCGCATAATTTCACAGCACTCACGTTATGCAGACGGAGGCCAAAGAGAGGCAGATCAGTTTGTCAAATCTATCTCCTGGCACGGTGTACAAGATGTGTGTGGTGCAGGCGGACACAGTGTGTCGTGGAGTGGAATGGTCTTGTCTAACAAGTATTCTCCCACTCCATCGGAACGATCTCGTCCCATCTCCTGGTGCTGATGTGCGTCACCTATCTGTTCTGGCTGTGGATGCAACTTCAGTGCAGCTGTTGTGGTTGCCACCTGCACGGTCCACTCGGACAGCAAACATGCGGGCTCCGCGTTTTTACTTTATCGTCTTGTTACCAGGACGCGAACTGCGATCCTGTTCACTGCAAACGTTCTACGTCCAAGCTCCATGGGTAAGTAGCGTAACCAGTGGGTGGGGCATTTGCTAACGCGATAGTTTGACTGCCTCATTCCGTTTGACTCCGAGTGTTACCCCTCCGCAGTCGGAATTGCTCTGCTTCAGCTATGTGAAGACGTTACACGTATGAACAACCCGTAGCTACTCAGGGTCGGTGGATTCCTTCGTTGTAAAATTAGCCATAACATGTGAAGAGTTTTAATAAGTCAAAATACCAGCCTCTATGGCAACAGTTCACCAAATTCAACATCGTAAAACCGCGTTTAAAATAGAGGATTTTTCTCCACCGTACAAGTGGCAATTCTCGCGTTTGTTTTACTCATGCAACACAGAGTCTGCATGCGATAATTTCAAAGTGTCAATAAGTAAATAAGTATGTTATTTCTCGACGGTGCGCGAGACCGTTCCGGCATAGGGACAGGTCAATAAGTACACAGTTGTGTTTCACAAGTAATGTCATCTAACATAGGATTGGAAAGACTTCACTCACACATATGGAGTTTGCATGTATACAGGTTATACTACTGATGAATTATGCGGTAAGCTCATAACAAAATCACAATCCACTGTTGACTGATGGCAGCAGTTGCGTATGGTTGCGAGAAGTGCTAGGGGAGGGGTTCCTCGCATTCATGCTATCTGTATGTCTGTTTTCCTCACTCGATACTTTGGCTATGGTCTCTTCGATGGAAATGAGCATATTCCAACGTGAGATTCTGTCCGCATTTCTGTTCTGCTTTCTCCTTGCGCCCTCTTCGTAGCATCACTTTTACATCGGCCCCTTGAATTGACATAGTATTTGCACCTATTCGGCTCCACCAGGTGCATCCATATGCCATATTTCAGTATATCCCGGATAGCCACCACGGCATACTTCGTGGTTGCCGGTATCCGGTTCCGGATCCGCTTGTCGCTACGACCTCCGTAGGATGGCCACAGGACGCCTGTGCCTACAGAGGGGTTATGAGTGGCTTGTGCTGCACCACCCACAGATCCATCCACACACCCCGTATTCATTGTAAACCAGAAGGAATAAAACCAGGAGGCATGTGGTTGGAAGCAACGTTTCATCAGCGAAGCCGGCCCTCACTCCTTCAATGTGCACAGCAGCAACATTCTTGTATGTTTACTTGGGGAATCACGTGTACCAGACATACACACGGTGTTGGCTGGACCGTAACCCGCGTTAACAAAGTGTTTTCGTAACCTGCATGTTAGGTTATTTCTGGGATAAGGTCTTTCGTTCTGATGAACTTGTGCCTGGTAATTCACACCTACTAGGACGGTCCCACGATCAATAGGTACTGCGGATACCTTAGCGCTCTCACATTCGCAAAGATATTTGCACTTTGTTTGGACATGGACCGAAATTGTACCATGTTCCCAAGTCGAGGGCTTCGGTGTTACTCTCTCTCCCAGATTTACACTCCATGACCGGTTACTTCCTTGTGTAAACTGCTGATGTAGAGCTCAATGGCCTAATCGTCAAGGTGTCTACTGTTAGCAACTATGCTCTGGGTTCCATTCGCAACTCGCGTCACGTCTTCCTGAGGAGCTCATTTAAGGATGCATGCTGTTGTCACATGCAGTGCTGAGAGAGACCAACAGCACAACGCTGCACTCCAAACGGTTGAAGTTTACTGCAGTGTAAACCATGAACCGCAGTCCGGACATACGGGGGTACCATAAGATCCGACAGCGCTTAGTGTTTCAGTTAACTCTTATGTTCGCGTTATACTACTAGAAAACTGCACCATCACGTGCACGTGTGTACTGCTCCTTGAACGGCTTGCGAGGTGAATCTTAGCTGTTGAAAATCGTTCACATCTGCTCATCGCATCTGCTTGCCTTCTCCATGATGATGAAACATCTTTGAAGCTTGCCAGCTAGGTGTTTGAACATTCGTTGATAACCTCGGAAATGCCGTCAGTTGCCTAAGAGATTAGCATTTGCGTGGTCTGCGATGCACTTTTTCTTTGACCTGTGAGTAGACGGGTTTATGAAAATAGGTTGGGTAGCTACGGATGACGACATCCCATAGGGCATCAGCTGGGCGTCACCACACGTAACAGTTGACACATGTGTCGTGTATGGCCTTAGCCACATGAAGAGATGAGTTCCCTCCATGGATAGTGACGGATCCTTTGGTTTGCGAGAAGGCGAACTGACGATATGGGGTGACCTTATCCACTATCAAACCCGATGTTTGAAACTATGCACAATAAGCTGTGCAGTGGCATATTGGTTTTGGCTTGGGGCGTTAGCATTCGCGTCGGTGCATGATTCCCCTGCTTGTTGATTTCGGATTGTGACTGGTTATGTAAACGGTTTAACGGTTTGAAAAGACATATCAGTATTGAGAGCTGCGGTTTCACTACCAAGACGGAACGCAGCTTGATGAATCTTCGCAGTGATGCACACTGTACAGTATGATCGTTCCACTCCCATCAAAACGACCTGAACAGACTGCTTTACTACTCCAATAGTTGTTCCTTAACACTTGGAATGTCCATTATGTGTAGCAATTGATGCTGCCTATTTTAGTACATCTGCTATTTCTCCATTGGTCAGACCTCATTCTGTCATAATAACTAAATCATCTTACAATTTTCACCAGTCGACAGTCGTCGACACTCATAGATTTGCATATTCCCACCCATCTATTGGATACGAATTCGCGGCCCCATTCATATGTTTTAAGAGTATCTGTTTGATAGCATGGGGCAAATTTAGTAATAATGGGGTATATTAGTCGGTTTATCAAGAAACCGTGCCGACAAAGGAACCGATTGTGTTTACATGTGCGATATGCTCATGCATGCAGGATTGTCAATGTTTGGGGGTTATACAGGGATGCAGTTGCAACTTTTGGAAAAACTTTCCGGGGTTATCATTGTCGTTTCCTTTCAGAACACGAACAATCTCCGTATATTCCGGCGCATATCGGGGATACCATGAAGGCGGCAGGCTCATGAAAAGGGAAGGAACATGTAGAGGGGCTAAAGCAATAGGAGTCATCAACCAAAATCAAACGAGTAGCGCATAGCCGTACATGATATTCTAGAGTAATAGGGGGCAAACTGTCTATACTTGGTGCATTTTTGCTCGTATGGGAACGAACGAGGAGAGAAAAATAGGATTAATGTACCAACGTAGTTGTCTATGAGTCTTTAGTGCTACAGCTGTGTTGGCTTGCCACATTTCACATCATGACTTGTTCCAGGCTTCTTTGGGTTTCCGGAACCGGAAGTCCAATCCGGCATACCGTAGTTTTCCATCAGTCGCGTTACACTCAGGCCATTGTCTTTCATCAGCGATGTACATCGTAGCGACTGGGAATCCACGGTGGCGGAGTGGTCCAAGCGTCTAGCTTCTATTCCACCCATCAAATGTTCGAATATGCGTAGCTGAGTTTGACTTCGCAGTATCTCACCCCGCATAAAACTTATGAAAATTGCGTGTCAGCGAGCTTTCGACACGAGGCCCTTACGTCCTGTCTGCCCCAAAGCCCCAAGCGGCCCTCTTTGGATTGCGGCACGCCGTCTAAGTTAGAATTGTGATTTGACATTAAACCAACTCTCTCTGTTCCGGTTACCGGGACCGCATCTGAGAGGATGCATACTGCGTTGTCCAATCCGAATGCTCTACGTCACTTATGTATCTCAATTTCCACAACCAAATTCCATTCACGCTGCTCATGGGAACATCCTATTGGCAATCCTTCATCTAGCGTCTAATGCTGCCAATTCGGCTCCACCACGTGATTACTACCTCAGTTGCATTGTGTCATGCTATTACATTTTCACCGTGATTACTACCTCAGTTGCATTGTGTCATGCTATTACATTTTCACCACTACGTAGCCGCTTATTTTGTGCACTTATGAATGCACAATTGAGTCACCTATTCTCGTTTCCGTTCGACCGTTTTGGACCGCAGCTGTGACTCCGCCACAGGGACAGATGTTTGCCTTTCGTCCACGGTGTCCGCACATCCACTGATATTTCTCTTTTGTGCGATCACGTACACATCTGGCCCGATTTGCCCGTTTCCCTTGTACAATCGCTGCTACCACTGTCTTCGTAGTGGTAAACTCTGGGTTTTGTGTTTGGATAATGACAGCCCCAGTTGGCCCATTATTTCCATTAAATTTACCTAAGACTTTCCATCTTCAGGGTTCTATTTTAACTGGTGGGATTCTGGTTGCTTTTGCATGTCATCCCACCCCGCTGTAGCCTTCTCCTTGCTCTGGGTAGCTGAAGCCATTCGGACAAGAAGCTTGGTGACTATCGGTCATCGTTTTTGATCTTATACAGCTAGGATTCATCACTTGCACTTGTGATTGCATCAAAATCACTTTCTGATTCACATCACAAACATCACCGGTGTAGCTCGGTAATCTGTTGATCTGGTCTTAGGTGACAGCTAAGGTATCATTGTGACGATTCGCATTCGGGCCATCTTTACCAAACTGGTTCTTTCGCGAACATTGAGATGGGATTAAGACAATACGGTCCTCTCCGGGAATGTCAACCTTCTCTCCTTTACTGTTTATCCGGTCCATGCACTGATTCTTGTCACTGATCCATTAGGGTGAATTCTATTTTGAGATCGATGGTGTCTGAGTTCATGACAATTGCCTATATTCTTCAAATCGTACTTCACTTACCCATAACTCGAATCTCCCGACGAACTGATTGCCTTGCTTCACGTCTGTAAAAATCTTGCCTCATTACACTTTCAGGCTCTAATAATTACGAGTTATATTTGTTGAAAAAGCTTGGAAACCTGTGGAAAATAGGTGCGCTTGAGAAGAAATGCATTTCCATCCTAAACCATTTAACTCCTATCGTTCTACGCACGTATTGTTCCTTATCTTGCAATTCCTCTCCCAAATATGCTCCTCTTAGAGTCAACCAGCAGATTATCAGCTGTTCACCGAGCTTGCCTCCGCTGCACTGTCGCAATTCATACCGGAAGGTTGTTTGCAAAAACGACCAAAGCCAGTTCAGCTCTATCCTGTGGGCGTCTGGCCCGATTGGGAGAAGTACGATGAACAACTCGACGGATGGGGCCGTGTAGGTGACTTCGTTGTCACTATCGATGGACTGACTCCCAATCAAGAGTATTCACTTCATCTGTCACCGATTTACAGCGAAAGTTACGGAGAAATGACTACCACTCGCTTCGCTACTAGTAGGTGTTTCCTCGGATTCTGTTTCTGCTTTTACTATTTTTCGCGACACACCATCATCAGACATCACACATACCCCTTCAAGATTTCTGTTCATCGCGAAGTTACGAAGTTCATTATGTCAATTCTACAGATCCAGCCAGTAGTTGAACGACTAAACTTCCTCAACTTAATTCGCGATTGGTTAGCCTGCATAGCTTGCCAGTAGAAATGTGGGAAATGAATATGCATCGTAAACCCATTCATCACCACCTTTGCGTTGCGAATATACGTCTTGGGGGCCCTAGCGTGTTATTGATTTAACTGGTGCGCTAACTTGTCATCAGTTGTCCAACTAGTCCGTTCATTATTGAACTCGTATCAATTAAGTGTGATTGCTTATATCTGGCAGTGATAGTTTTTTTACATCCTTACATTCCATTCATCAAGAATCACTGTTTAGCTTATACATGGTACCATTATCCTTGTCGAAAGCACGACGGTGTACATTCCAATGCTTGGGCTGAGGGAGTATTTGCCATGTCTTGTATACACCTATGTGCCCGTGTACTTTCCGATCACTGACAAGGCCGACCGCCCAATGTGGTCACTACACTTCTTAAGCCCAGGAAATTAACGAGCATTGCTTGGTGACTCGTTGGAGTGTCTGCTGAAGTCGAATCATCGCTGGTTCGGCCATATGCTCCGCATGCCTCAATGTGCATTGTTTCGAATACTGCGTCTAGCTTATGTAAAACCCTGGAGTTATTATTCGCTGCTATGGCAGACAAGTATGAATCAACTTACCAAAGCTCTGAATCGGTTTGTTGTCTTCTCGAATGGGGTCCCCAATGATCGGCCACATCAATGTTTGGATACCTAAGTGGAAATAGCGTGGCCGCGAAGTACGTATCTATCTTGTATTCGTTCACTCGCGTCGGTCTATTTACTGTTACGTCCGATGAGTTAACTCCTTGATCGTTTCTCTCGAATTCTTATTATCACGCTTATTATTATTATTATTGATATGTGCGTCAAGGCGACGGAGTCCACCACACCTTGGTACGTTCAAACTGTGACCCAGCCACAATCTTGGGTACACCAGGCGGAGGCGGGGTTTTATGGTTTAGAAGTTCCCACAGTGCATTTCCTCTTACGTTACCTTTGCAGACGCTGCGCCTTGTCTTGTTCATCGATGTTGTCGCGCGAATTCACCGACTCACGGGTACCACACATGCTGAAGATGGGTGAACTGAACCAATGGTAGTTGTAACTTCCATTCCATCCATTCAGACTACATTAGACATAAGAACTGCTGCTGGATTTGTGGTTATCGCAACTCAGTTCATTCAATTCATTCGTTAGCACTGCTGCTATATTGACCTGTAAACCGGGATCCGGATGCCGGAAGGTATAAAGGCATCATCAGTGAGCTGCCACATGACCACCACCAGGTGCGCGTAGGCATAGTATACCACAAGATCTTCCGCACCCACGCGGCTTCGAACCGGTGACGTCCGGACTATAAGGCACGCGGAATCCTTTCGGCCAGCGACCCAGTCACGCTGTGCTCAGGTACCCGGCTAACATTCTTATGACCACTTCCTTCTTTTACAACCAATCAGCAGTTTGGGAATTGGCTTTTACGGACACCGACTGAAATTGAAATATGCTGCACAAATGTTATAGAATAGGTCACATCCACTATCATCGCGCCGCTACCACGTAGAATGCAGATTTTGAATTCCCGAATAACTTGCGGAGCTGCATTCCATGACCGACCAGTTTCGTCCTGATTTAGATTCGTCAGGTAGAGATAGCTTGAGCTGAGAGGGAGCCCAACACAGTGGTTGAAGGCTTCGTCTTGGTAACTTGACCACAGCTCCACAGCAGCGCTTGACACAGTAGCTTAGTGACCAAAACGAGAGCCGTCAACCATTGGGTTAGGTTCCCCTCACAGCTCAAGCTATCTCTACCTTACGAGTCCAAATCAGGACGAAATTGGTCGGTCGTGGATTGCAGTGTTGGAAGAAAGCATCTCCGGAACTCCACTTCGGATTCGATCTCAGTGATTGAAATGACAGGTTTGTTTCAAAGAAACTGTAGCCTCAATCGAGATTGCGTGTCGTAATCCAGGCACACGGTGCGTACTCCAAGACCCAATAATGAACCCCTAGTAACGTCCTCGCTCTCACAGGTTTTCTAGTTGCAATGCTTGCCATTTAAAATGTCCGACTTTCCATTGTAAAACTTTCTATGGAGGACTGGCTTACTGTGTGGGAGGAATTTTCACGAGTCTCAACGCTGTTCTTTTCGCATTCATGACGAATCTGGTTATATCAGTTGGACCACAACTATTCACTCAGTCACTTTGAACGCGAGCGTGCTTTCCATACGAAGATTAATCGCACAGTATCTCAATGGCGCTGGTGGAGCGTGAGCGACAAAGCGGTGGAATATTTGGGTAGCTCACTGATGAACATTCCAAAGGCAAAATTTCTGAACTGATTCGCGCTAATATTATTAGGATTGAAAACAGGAAATTCAACCGAATCTCAGCACTATTCGCACTTCAGTAAGTATAGCCGAACGTTATAGAACGACCTACTTCAGTTAGACGTAGGATGGAACCGAGTCCGATCATATTGGAAAGAACCAAGAAACAAATTGAGCATCACTAGATAAAGTCGAGCTAGGTCTGACGAGTACCCGCCTAGTCCGAAGTAGGTGCTGTTCTGCTTTTGGTAAGCTGTTGTGTTTGCCACTCTTCCCAGTCGTAACATACGTCACCCGCACCTCCTCTAACCACCACCTGGGTATTTCCTTTTCGTCTGTAACATGTAGTGAGTAGCGGATACGTAGGCGCGCTCCTGCCACGGTCATTCGATCCCAAGCGTACGATCAGGCTACGTGCCAGTCACTACCGTGCACTCTGCATCCACTCACCAAGCCTACTTGGTCCTGTCAATGGTAGTCGGATTCGGTAAGCAGCTGGCACATTGGCCAGTTCAGCTCAGTTGCGCAACCATCATCCGGACACTGGAGAGCAGTGGGTAAGGTTGCCATGATTCAAGTCGCCAGCATAACAGTTACTAATAACAGCAAGAAAATGAGGTTGAATACAGATTGGATGGAAAGAAGAAATGGAATCAAGAAAGCACTGCGTTAAACTAAACAGGATGGAGTGAAAATTAATAGCTAGATGCAAGAAACCAAGTTCGAAAATGTCCGAAAGAGTTTTCAAACACTGATGTGGACCATCCCCGGGCCCCCATCCACGATGACAGCATGCACCAGCCAGACCAAGTCTCTCGGTCAGTTGCTTCATTCCCACATGCCACGTCATCTCGGTTTCGCCCGACTACGTGCCGCGACGGCGTATAACACACGCCGAGGTGGGCGATCTGTGGGCATGCGGAGGACATGCACAGTGACCAGAGGACAATTGACCACCTTGACACTTGCCTGGTTTCCCATGATAACCTTTCCAGTTGGATGAATGGAAACTGGTGTTATATCCGTGTCGCCGTACTCTCTAATTCTGTCTATCGAGACAGATGTAGTTACACACAAGCAAGCTTTGTAACACAGTTCGTAAATACTAATGTTTCTCGACTCTAGTTGCCTGAATAAAGTAATATCGCCCTCAAATATGCTTCCATGGTCTGGCATGCTTTCGAACCAGTAACTTGATGGCACGGTGAGTAACGCAATTATACCGTAATTGAGCCCCCACTTTCCTACATATCGGCTACTTGTGTACAGAAAGAAACAACGTGTAGTGGTGGACCACGCACGTATTTTAACAACTCCTTAACTACACAACAGCGCGGTTACTGGAAGCATCAAACCGGATCCTTGTCTTCATAAAGACACATTTTGATAACGGGTACCTGTGAGACACTATCATTTACCTCGTTTTGATTCTCAAGACACGACTGTATTACATTCTCGCTTTTGTGTCATACTGAACTATAGTTTACTCCTTACCTATCTTCGTCAGGTACCTTAGTGAATCTAACATTAGGATGGATACCGACTTGATAAAGTCTGGAACAAGCTATAGCCCGAACTACATGGCTATACTGTTAAGCAAGAATTTCTAAGAGGCGTCAAATTCTTGATTGTACGGAACGTGATCACACTGATTGTTCTAGAATAACAAACCAAACATACGATCAGAGTTCAGGTTTCATATGATCTAGTACATGTTCTGCCACCATAGTCTCTCTTGTGAGCTAACTGTTTTACAGCTAGATGTACGAAAGAGCGGTTGAAACCCAGCTCTAACATCATTTCGGTTCAGTCAACCATTTATTGTGCCTTTACTGTCCTTCCAAACGTCATTTTATGATCTGGTTTTCAATTTTCCTGATCCACCTATGATCAAAGCTCCATACAAATATGCACTTTCCCATCATGCCGATGCAGGCCTGTCTGGCATCGTCGAGAATAAAAAGTTTATTTATTTAGGTACTTTATCTACTGTGTTTATCCGGCCTCAGCATTCCAACCAATCCCATTGATCATGATCACTCGCTTCATCATGTGGACGTCACACGCGCCCGGGCAATTGCACAATTCATTTCCCGATGAATTTTATACTGCTTCGTGTTAGGTTAGCGAGCCAGTGCCAATTCAGCGGCACTCCGTTGCGCGAACCCCATCTATCCGCATAACGACAACAGTGTTTGATGTGACACAAATGACGATGTGGTTTTTCTGCTGCACTAACTGCAACACACCGTGTTGTGAACGCAGCCCGGTCATGTGACCTGTGCACACAACCATGTGTTTTCCAATCTGTCGCTGGTCTATGTGGTTCCTGGCCTGAGATGTGTTGTCCAAGCCAACAACGGGTCATCGTGTGAACTTTGTGTTATTTTTGGCACCACTCTGAACAAGGTGGTTAATTGACTAAATCAGCTCCAAACACACTGCATGCCAGGCTACACACTACAACCACGTCATCTACCAACTTGAGGGGAATGCAGATAGAAATAATCACGTTGTTCGGGTGATC